AGAGGCTTGTACAACTTACCATCGTGAATGACTCTTTATTGGTACCGAGGCTTGTACAACTTACCATCGTGAATGACTCTTTATTGGTACCGAGGCTTGTACAACTTACCATTGTGAATGACTTTTTATTGATACCTAGGCTTGTACAACTTACCATCGTGAATGACTCTTTATTGGTACCGAGGCTTGTACAACTTACCATCGTGAATGATTCTTTATTGGTACCGAGGCTTGTACAACTTACCATTGTGAATGACTCTTTATTGGTACAGAGGCTTGTACAACTTACCATCGTGAATGACTCTTTATTGGTACCTAGGCTTTTACAACTTACCATCGTGAATGACTCTTTAAGTTTTTCTTCTAATGCTTTCTTCTCACAAGCACATTTGTCTCTTTCCTTTTGAATGTTATCAACCATCTAAAAACAAAATATAACACATTTGGCTTACATGCATATGCCTTCATTCATTCATTCATATAAAACTAGAGAAGTGAGCCCTCTAGAGGCCACAATTCAGTATCTGAGCGGGGTTGTGTATAGAGTTTGATTTGATAACACTGTAAAACATGTCTTTTTCGCGAACATGTCTTTTTAGCAAATTTAGCGAGAGAACTGATTCGCTAATTCAAGATGTCGCTAATGACTTTGAATATAAAAATCTGGGGCGCTTCCTAATTACACTTGACAGTTCTTCTTTGTTTTTATGGAGGTGATAACTGTGCATTTGTTTTGGCAGGCGACAGACAAGTATTGTGAAAACAGGAAATCAACAATGTCAAGAGAGATTCGCTAAATCAACATTTCGCTATTACGACATTTTACCACAATTCGCTAAAATGGCATGTCATTTTTTCAACATGTTTTACAGTAGTTTTTTTACCTTTGACGGCCATTTCTCTGATTCTGCTAGTTTTTGTTTGAAACTTTCTTTTAGCTGTTCAATTCTATTCTGGTGCGATGAAATCATTAACTCCCTGAAAAAATATATCAAATTAAATAATTATTGTTGATTGAAGAGACAGCTGAATCACAACTCTGTCTTTTTTTTAATATGAACATACTTCATATGATTTCATTCATAAATTTTATTTGTTTATTTTGATATATCTTTCTTTTACTTTAAATGTTTTTTCACTGTTTTTAAAATCTAGTATATTCGAATTTATGAACAAATTGTTATTATTATTTAAAAAAGAATTACATGAACTTTCATGGATGTTAATAATCTATAATGTAGTACCAGTATTCATATAAAGGTGAGAAGTTCTATTGTTTTGTCTTAAATTCCAAATTAATTCAATAAGGTTTTTCTAAACCTTTAATTTCTTCAATTAAAGGGTCAAATACTTTTCCAGAATATTACATGAATGGCACAAAAAAAATGTTTAGTGCACAGAACTAAAGACAATGGTGATTTTTTTCAATGTCAAGGTGAACTTTTGTCTTCTTTTACAAATATACATTATTCAAAATCCATATTAGGCAATGATGTCAACTTGGTCCAAAACTACAAAAAAATCACTATAGAATCACCAAAATGTTGATATCAAATAAGAGAACAAACAGAAACAACCTAAAGTCTGGGCAAACAATGCTCCATAAATATAAGAAAATGCAATTTACAGTTTTTTTATATCACATTTCATTCTCTAGATATTCAACTTTTCAACAATTTATGTAGTCCACCATCCTGATTCTCCAGCAAAGAATTATGGGTAAATTATGACATCATGAAAACCGACAAATAAACATGACATCATCAGATGACAAGTTCTCACCTCTCAGACTTTAATCCTTCTAACTCTTCTTGCACAGTTGATAATACTGATTTCAGTTCTTCTGTTTGTCCCTTAGACATTGCAATATTCCTTTGTCTATCCTGTTCCAATCTGGCTTGTTCCTGCGCCTTGTTTCGTAGTTTCTGACATTCTAGCACCGATGACTGTAATTCTTCAATTTTGTGTTTCAATTCTTGTTGTAATTTCACAATAGTCTGTTCTGATATTTGATCTCGTTTTCTGACTTGGATGCTGATGTCATCGACTTCTTGTGTTTTACGACTGGAAATAAATAATGCAAGTCGCTTCACAGTGTTTTGCATTTAAATATTTGAGAGTGTTCATTAGGTATAAAAGTCACTGTGACTTTCTATAAACCATTTTAATGTCAAATTCATATTTTTTTTTACTCGTCATGTGCTTTACATTGACACTGAGGTAGATTCAATTACACTCTTTTTGAAGAACTGCCCATCCCCTCACACTTACTTTAATAATTCTTTGTACTGGGCAGTTTCGGAAGACAATGTTCTGCATTTTGAATGTTCCGACTCAAGTTCATTTCGAAATTCTGTAAAACAAGCATAAAACACTATCTATCATGAAAAAAACTGACTGGAACAAATTTATCTTTCTCCAATCAACACCAGAGGGCAGTATACTAAGAGTTTCCAGAAATCAAGAACTACATTAGTCTGTTTTCATGGTAATAAATACAATAAATATGAATTTCCATTCATTCATCTGAAGAAATAGCAGCCTTGTCATTATAAACTACAGAAATTATAAACTTCCGGATAAATGGTCAACCTACTTTGAATTTCTCTGTTTAAACGTTCACACTCTTGTTCTCTCTGTCTGTGCTGATTTTCGGAGTCACGCAACCCTTGAATTGTTTCTTGAGTTGTTTTTAAGGCAGCTTCTAAAGTGTTTTTACTTTCTTCAAAGTCAGTTACTTGTTTTTCTAATAATGATATTTTTTGCAGTAATTCGTCTTTTTCTGCAGAAAGAAAAACAGTAATCTATTTTCATTAAAATTAGTCCATTCTTTGCATGCTGTCTCATTAAAATTGACCATGAACACATCTCTGTTATTTATGTAAAAGCATGCACCCCTAATAGAGTAAATACGATATGTTAAAATAAAGAATGTCTGGAATTCAAGTCATAAGAAATCAAAAACAAATTCTGATTGATCTGTAAGATGGAACATATTTCTACACTATCCATCAGATGGGACCCCCTAACTTTTCTCTAGACTATCCATCAGATGGAATCTGCTAACTCATCTCTAGACTATCCATCAGATGGGACCCCCTAACTTATCTCTACACTATCCATCAGATGGGACCCCCTAACTTATCTCTACACTATCCATCAGATGGAATCTGCTAACTCATCTCTAGACTATCCATCAGATGGAACCCCCTAACTTATCTCAACACTATCCATCAGATGGGACCCCCTAACTTATCTCTACACTATCCATCAGATGGGACCCCCTAACTTATCTCAACACTATCCATCAGATGGGACCCCCTAACTTATCTCTACACTATCCATCAGATGGGACACCTAATTTATCTCAACACTATCCATCAGATGGGACCCCCTAACTTATCTCTACACTATCCATCAGATGGGACACCTAATTTATCTCAACACTATCCATCAGATGGGACCCCCTAACTTATCTCAACACTATCCATCAGATGGGATCTGCTAACTCATCTCAACACTATCCATCAGATGGGACCCCCTAATTTATCTCTACACTATCCATCAGATGGGACCCCCTAATTTATCTCTACACTATCCATCAGATGGGACCCCCTAATTTATCTCTACACTATCCATCAGATGGGACCCCCTAACTTATCTCTATACTATCCATCAGATGGGATCTGCTAACTTATCTCTACACTATCCATCAGATGGGACCCCCTAATTTATCTCTACACTATCCATCAGATGGGACCCCCTAACTTATCTCTATACTATCCAGCAGATGGGATCTGCTAACTTATCTCAACACTATCCATCAGATGGGACCCCTTTACTTATCTCTACACTATCCATCAGATGGCATCTGCTAACTTATCTCTACACTATCCATCAGATGGGACCCCCTAACTTATCTCTACACTATCCGCCAGATGGGACCCCCTAACTTATCTCTACACTATGCATCAGATGGGACCCCCTAACTTATCTCTACACTATCCATCAGATGGGATCTGCTAACTCATCTCTAGACTATCCATCAGATGGAACCCCCTAACTTATCTCTACACTATCCATCAGATGGGACCCCCTAACTTATCTCTACACTATCCATCAGATGGGACCCCCTAACTTATCTCTACACTATCCATCAGATGGGACCCCCTAAATTATTTCAACTCTATCTGCCAGATGGGACCCCCTAACTTATCTCTACACTATCCATCAGATGGAACCTGCTAACTTATCTCTACACTATCCATCAGATGGGACCCCCTAACTTATCTCTACACTATCCATCAGATGGAACCTGCTAACTTATCTCTACACTATCCATCAGATGGGATCTGCTAACTTATCTCAATACTATCCATCAGATGGGACCCCTTAACTTATCTCTACACTATCCATCAGATGGGATCTGCTAACTCATCTCTAGACTATCCATCAGATGGAACCCCCTAACTTATCTCTACACTATCCATCAGATGGGACCCCCTAACTTATCTCTACACTATGCATCAGATGGGACCCCCTAACTTATCTCTACACTATCCATCAGATGGGATCTGCTAACTCATCTCTAGACTATCCATCAGATGGAACCCCCTAACTTATCTCTACACTATCCATCAGATGGGACCCCCTAACTTATCTCTACACTATCCATCAGATGGGACCCCCTAAATTATTTCAACTCTATCTGCCAGATGGGACCCCCTAACTTATCTCTACACTACCCATCAGATGGAACCTGCTAACTTATCTCTACACTACCCATCAGATGGGACCCCCTAACTTATCTCTACACTATCCATCAGATGGGACCCCCTAATTTATCTCTACACTATCCATCAGATGGGACCCCCTAAATTATTTCAACTCTATCTGCCAGATGGGACCCCCTAACTTATCTCTACACTACCCATCAGATGGAACCTGCTAACTTATCTCTACACTATCCATCAGATGGGACCCCCTAACTTATCTCTACACTACCCATCAGATGGAACGCTCTAACTTATCTCTACACTATCCATCAGATGGAACGCTCTAACTTATCTAAACACTATCCATCAGGTTGGACACTCAATCCCTTGGACTGGGCTATATTTTGTCTATTTTTGTGTTCACATTGGACACTATGTATTGTGGGGGTTTAGATCCAGGGTGTCTGCAAGTTGAGGTCACAGTCATGCATGCCTCTGAATCAAAAAATACTTACGCTCAAGTTCATTTTTCCCAACATGATCAACTATTTTCTGTAGCTGTTCAACACACTGATTCACAACTTTATTTCTCTGTTCAACAAATGTCTGTATGTTTTGTAATGATGATTTTTGTTGTTTCACATTACCCATAATAACTGGAAGAACTTTTTTGAGGTGATCATGTTGAAGTCTGTAAAATAGAAACAAGAGACATTGTTGAATCAACAAAAACATATTGATATTTGTTTATGTCAATATAAAATATTTAAACTTATTGAACACAAGTACTCACGTCTTCAGTGTTGGTGAACGAATGAACCTTGGCCAGTGGTTACAGCATTCTCATTGAGCCTGTGGCACACTCACTCAGGGTAGGGCTAATTCCTTTTTCGGGATTCATGTCCCAAAATTGAAATCTGAACTGAACACTGCTCTACCAGTGATAATTGCTAGTGGTTAACTCGACATAATTTAATTTCTATTGTTGCTGTTGACATTGGCAATAGCTGTGATTTTTAACTTTTTTTGTTTAAAGCGTGGCAGTCGTTGCACCATGCATGATATATATGGTCCTCATGTAATTTTTAATTTTTACATGATTGAAAGCTATCAAAGAAGTCACCAGCGGTAATCAGTGCAAGTCGCGCCCAGGTCAACTTGAGATTTTCATTTGAAGAGCACATTGGATTGTGGGAAAATCAATGTTTATTAACACAAAACGACGATATATCACATAAAATCATCGGTGAGAAGCTTGGCCTCTCAAGATGGCAATGCACTTGATATTTCTCCAGGGCCTTCGGTAAGTTGTAATCTTGTACCATAATCCCCGAGGTTCACTTGACAGATTTGGATTTCAAAAGATGGCACTCTGTATATCTGGACGCAACCCTGCAGCCATCTCTTTTTAAGTGATTTATTTAATAATTTTGGTATAGCATATATACTGTGCTTTCAGTGTTCATATTTCAATGATGGCATTACAAATTGATACTAATTACATAGGAAATATTAGCCTGACATGTAGGCCCTCACCGGCTGAAAGGCATCAGACCCCACTAACGCCTGACGAGATCAATACTACAAAATCGCAAAGTTTACGCTTTCTTGCAATGAGTTTCACAATGAATATTCATTTTGGTGATCATGGTAACACTGTTAATCAAAGCCATGTTTGCATTGTCAGCAAAAATCACAGACTGTCAACAAACATATAAACTCTGGTTACTCTTTGATGACTGTCACTATCTGACATCCCTGCAATTTGATTGGTATCGGCAAAATATCGTCAGGGGAAGTGAAAACTACGCAGTTCTGTCAGGTGTGTGTTGGGTTAGGAGCACCGGGGAGGGCACAACTCGTGCGACCTTGTTAGGCTAAGAAAATATTCATTAAAAATAAAAATTGGAGAAAAAAGAACGATAGTTACAGCTATGGTTATTTTAATAAGTAACCTTTTACAATTATTCAATGTTATCTCAGTTCTCAGTCATGTTGATTTCAGTCATGATATTCAATATTGTGGGCCACAATAGACTAAACATGAACTCAATATTACTACCTACAGTTAAGGCTAGTTTCACAGCAAAGTTATTTACAATGGAAATGGAAAACGAGGACAGTGTAAGATACGATTCCCTGGTGCAAACCCAGAGATTGACAGGTTACCCTAAAATACAAAATTTTTGAGATTTCAAATATATCACATTCTGAGGATTCCTATAAACTACTAGAGAGTGAGAGTGCAACTTAAATGCTACAAATAACATTATTATGTAAGTGTAAAAGCTTACTTTATGTGTTCACTACTTTCTAGGTGATTGTTAAGTTTTTCTTCAAGTTCTTTATTTGTAATCCTTTGTTTTTCTAAGTCTGCTATATTGGCAGTGTTTTCTTCAGTCACAGCTGCAAGTCTGGGAAAAAAAACATTTTAATTGTTTTAATGTTTACTAATTAAAAAAAATCATTAACATTGGCATTGGTAAAAATTGCACCATCTTTAAGATGGCACGGCCACAATGCTGCATTATGACAATGTGAATGTCATCAAATCATGAACTATTTAGTGAATACAGCCCATGTCAAAATAAATCAAACTTATAAACAAAGATTTTTATGAACCAGTATACAATAATACAGTATATCTGGTATATATGACTCTAACATGGTATGTTTAATTCTTCAGAAAATAACACTAAATATGAAAGCAAAAGAAATAAAACTCAGAATACTAAGTGTTTTTTTTTAAATTCTTGATATAGTTCGCATGTTTCAAAACACACACACATATTAAATGTATTACTTTAACCACACGGTGACTGTCATCTGTTATCATAGCCATGTTCAGGATCTTACTTTGATGCTAATTGTGTGGAATCTTTCTTCAATTGTTCGTTGCTCCATTGTGAAATCTGTAACTCATTCTTCAACTGTGCTTCTCTCTCTTCTATTCCTTTATATTTACAAAGCTCTTTCTCTAATTTTTCAAGCTGGGTAAACAAAATAAATATGTTTTACGAAATTTTAATTTATAATTTTATTTGAAAACATCATTTTAGTGTATTATCACTGATTTATCACATGATTACAATATTGTATAGGATTAAACTAAATTTACAGTACCGTAGGTAGGTAGGGTAGGTAGTGTACTCAAAACAACTTTTGAAAAAAAAATTTTATTGGTCAAAAGACTTACTTTATTTTCTAATTCTTTAATTTCTCGATGTATAAGGTAACTAACACCACAGAATTGACACACTGTATCATCTCGTTTCATTTGCTGTATTTCCTTTGGTAAAGGATGCTCTAATTTGACCCGCTCAATTTTCTCTGAGTCCTCCATTATTATCCGTAGAAAACTACAAAACACATTATTATATTGTCAGTAATATGGATAAGTATTTCTGAGTATTGCCTTTTGTAGAAAACTCAAAGCATTCCAAATACATCCAACAAAGCATTTTAAAAATGTTATTTGTGTTATATGTTATATGCTAAAAACAATACACAAAATGACAGTCATGCCCTGTGGGTATGCGAGAAAAAATGAAACTGTATTAGTTTTTGACCCTTTCTGTAAAAATTCTTTAATTTTGTTTCTTTACAAAATGACCTTGATCATTGTGAGTGATCATGTGCAAAGGATGCACCCTTTTACCCTGGGGAGCAGATCCTCTGGCAATCATTAAATTCTGATTGACCGGGGATCACATGTGGCCACAGTCTTCAACTGGGACCTGTCTGATAGTAATTTTGGCCCGAAGGAAGCCATAGAATGCTCCATTTTAACTTAGAATTATCAAAAATTCCATACCCTGGTAGGAGAACCCTATCCTGAATTAAGTGCTCCCTCTTACAGTTTTTTTCTAGAAAAACCCCTGATGTAGCCTACAATATTGTGGTATGCTAGTCATCTAACAAATCTATAGTTGTATCATGGGTGGAGAACACACAGTCTTGTAACACAATGTTAATGCCAAACAAATAAAGGGTCTTTTCGATTTAAAATACCTTATAAATGTCATACAAAACAGATATGGGGTATGGGCTTGAATACTAATTACAACTACACTGTAATCTGCAGAGGGCAGTGTTCATGTACAATATGGAAAATACAAAATACATATGGTTAAAGAGGCACTTCCAGTTAAGCCTAATCTCACAACAAACTTACTTTCTGGATGAAAATTACAATGAATAACAAAAGATAGATTAACTTTGTAAACAACAAACAATAGTGTTCCATGATTCTTAGATTCCCCTATTGTTGATGTATTTAGGATCAGAAAATACACTTTATTTATTTACGAGAAATAAAACTGTATTATAGTTTTTGACGCTTTCTGTAAAATTGTGTCATTCCCTCAATTTTGTTCCTTTACAGAATTACTCTGATCATTAAAAGCCAATTTATATACCAGTATTTTCTTAGTTTCTTATTATTATTTGATACCCCCAACTTCTAGAAGTATACATACATGTACATGTACCTTTGTTTGCGTTTTATTTTACTGGCAATTTTTGAGATGTGACAGACAAAGACAAATTTGCAGTATTTTTTGCAGCCCATGTTTTTTACTGATGTGAACCAATGTAAATTTTCTTGTTTTTGTTTTTCAAAAGCTTGTTTTGTAATATTACTGTCTGGTAAGTCACTAAAACTATACCAGTATTGAATCAGATTTTTCTGATTATCTATAATGGAAATTTACCAAGTTCAGCTTTGAATGCAGCATTTAAGGTAGAAGCCTACTCATATTTATTGAGAAATTGTGTCATAAATCACATGACAATGTTCATTGGTTTATTATGTAAAATCATAGAACTATTGTCCCATGGCACCATAAAATAGCATTCTCTTGTGTGTTACAGTGACGTATTTTGAGAAACTTGTACTACATTTTTTCAAAAAAAGCTACTTTTAGAACAATTCCATAGAGCGCAATGTTAAACAAAAATTGCATTTTTCAACACTTTTTAAAACCCAGATTTTTGAAAAAAATCAGGAAAACAAAAAGTAGGCTATCATTAACAATATATTATTTTTTCAGCCTATGTCACCAGCCTACAATTTGAGATATGGCATAATATCTCTGTCATAGAACATATGGTAAAAGCTCTATAATACTGCCAAAATGGCCGCTATCCACTAAAATACAACCATGATTTTCTCGAAAATTAACCTGGTGACCCCATTTTTTTCAAGTCAATATTCTTATATTGCCTGGAAGTACAATATATTTAAAAATTTAAGAAATTCTGGGTTTTTGAAATCATGAGTAGGCTTCTACCTTAAGGAGAATTTATTCACACCTGGTATAGTATTTGGCAAAATTTCAACTGTGTTTTATCATTTTCTATTATGTCCCCAAGTTGTCAATATACTACTCCATGACGAATTGATGAAAAAGCATTTTCATCTGATTATATTTTTGCTTAATTATATTCTTCCAATAAAAATATTTCCCAATGAAAATAAGTAGGTACACATAATGAGAACAAAGATGACCATACGTGTGGTAGATGACATAGTGCCGACGGCTACCAACAATTCTATTGCATGGAAGTGAGCTGATCTGTTATGACGCTGGCAGTCTATAAGATGACAAATTATGGCAGTAAGTGACACAGTTAGCCACCATCTAGTGTATCGCTGTGCATGTTGAAGAGAGAAAAAATTGACTATATAATGCAATCAAGAGATAAGACAATTTATATGCTCTAACTAAATATTTGTTTCAATGTAAAAAACAAACACTGCCTAACAATGTCAAAACTTATTATCAAAGTATCTGTGAAAGGACTAATTTCACAATCAAAATATTAGTAGTATAGTCTAATGTAGCTATTTTTATTACATATTTTTTTACTTAATACATTACTATGTTTTCAATTTTTCAACTTCATTGATGCACATAACCAAAAAAGAAGTGTAATATTTTCTTTACGGTGTCAATAAAGCACTACTAGTATTCTATTCTATTCTGAAGCCAGCTGACTGTGGTCAGTGCAGTCGAATGATCAATTAACGATGATCGTCAACATGTTTTGGTGGGAGTGGTGATGGTTACGATTGTCAAGTATACTCACATACGTAAACACTTCGCATCAACAATCACGATGATTTCTGAATATTGTTCATCAAGAAAGAGTTAGACATAAGAGTCAATAAACCGACAACTGTTATGATCGTACACTATCACGGAGGCAGCCATCTTGGAAACTACCAAACAAAAATGTCATCCGGGTAACTACGTCCTTTGTCGCAAGAAAGAAATTATTGTCCAATTTATGTACACTTGTTATTGATATAATTTTAAGTATACACTGTTAGCTGTGAGTATTTATAAGTAGTATAATTAATCTGGGTTGTAATAATATCAAAATTGTATATAAATGTAGAAATGAGAATGTGTTTTAATTATTCTACAAAGAGGTTACATAGTTTTTTTTGGAAACCGGAAGTGGTGATTCCGGAAGTGTATCACCAGTATTTACCAAAGTTACTCAGAAAGTGAATCAGCTGCAAGGACGACATTTTGATGAGTGGAAAGTAATTTTATCGTGAAACTGTATATTTTTATGGAATTCACTAGAAGTAATGTCAACAATATGATTGTGGTTTGAATGTTATGATACGAAACGGCAAAGCCAAAATATGCACTGCACGAAAGCAAAACAGGGCATAGAAGATGCTGAGGCTCGAGAGTTTGCTGAAAAACGATGGAAATATGACGAGAGAGAACGTCAACGTAAGCGATACTTAGAGGACGTAGAGCTTAGTCCGTCACAGGGAAGAAAAGTTATTGATTTGGCAGTAAAAGATCTTGATGACAGTGCTAAGAGATTTTGTATGGTAAGTTGCGCCAAGTTGTTATCGCTCCATCTTTATCTGTGCAAGTAAATACCAGTCAACAGATCCGAGACATGTGAATTGGCGATTAATTAAGGTACATACGGTATTACGTGTATGTAGACTTATGACTGCAAATATGCTCTGTGGCTTTGAAATATGCTAGTTTTTCTGGCTTCTGTAAAATACTTAATTTTAGCTGGAATTAATTTTCGCTGAAAAGACTTTTTGGGTGTTATATTTTCACTGATTTTTGACGAGTTGAATGTAAAATATAGGAAAAAAAGGTATATTCACTGGATTTTATTTTCGCTGAATCATTCCTTCAGCTAAAATAGCGAAAATTAATTCCAAGTTAATTCTAAAAATAACTGTTTTTTAAAATCGAATCTGAAAATGCAATATGTGTTACGGTAGGTGATTATCAAAATTCAATATATTTTTCTCTCAATATTATTTCTATCAATTATATAAATATTAAATAAAAACAACGATTGCATAAAAGACATTATTTATGGTAAGATTACTATACAGTTTTGAGGGAGTTAATATTGGTCAAGGGTCGGACTGTCCTGAGTTCATTCTAGGCCATGATTCTCACAATTAAAATCATTTTATCTCATTTATGATTAACTCCTGTGACCTTAAATTGCATATTATTGTACAATGTAACATTTTCAGAAGGTCAAGCAATGTTATGAAATAAGCAAATAAAAAATAGCCTATTCATTCATCTCAATTCTCAATTTTTTTTAAATAATTTTCTATAGTGTTTTAAGTATGTCTTTGATTAAAAAGCCACCATATATAACCATGGACCTACATGTATATCGCATTCATTAAATAAAAATATGGCACCTCTAAATATTATCAATCTGTGCGTTTTTTTGTAGGCAATAAAATAACTATATATTGATGACCATGTCAGGCTATAAAAACATTGTGAATAATATTAATAAACACATTTTGGAGATATTTCTCTGAAATGCAAATCCTGGAATGAACTCTGAGGGTTTGTACATACATGGAAATTTGCATGAGCTCTAGGATCTGTACAGTGCAACTAATTTGTTTATTAAGTTTTGGCATGGTGAACTTGTGTAGCTATGCACTAACTTTAAATAAAGGTGGGCATTTTTATGGAGAACTGTGATCCTGTCTGCCTGTACCAGTAATTGTTTTCATTGAGCTATTTAGTCATAAAAATATCCTAAAATAACAACAACAACAACAAATATTTTAATTGTTTACAAGGACTTATTGGGTCAAGGTTTATTACACAAACATCCTTGGCAGTTATTTTCGTTAATGGTGGAATTAAAAATATATATTGATTGATGCATTGTTAATTTATATGCAAATTAATAAATTTTGAATGTTAATTAACTTTGTACTGGAATTCTAGTGATGCAAGCACTATTGTTTATTACTTACACTAGTAATTGTAATTTAGACTGATGAACATTTCATATTGCTCTAATAAACTTTATAATCTGAGAAACATCCACACACTCTTACTGTATAGAGCATAATTATTTACTGAGTTTTATTCTTTGAATATTTTGCTGATTTATATTTTGTCACATCTTGAATGTATTAATGAATATTCAAAATTAACAATAGAATGCATTCATGATTGTTTTATTTTATAAACTAGTGAATTTAACACCTAGTGAATATCTCTGACACATCAAGTCAACTAAACCCTGTGAATGTTTCTCTTTAAAAGGTGATGATATTAATCAGGGTTTTTTCTAGAAAAAAAGTGCAAGAGGGAGCACTACAATTCAGTAGTACACCAAGTGGGGGAGATAGGGTTCTCCCTACCAGGGTGTGGAGTTTTTGATAATTCTAAGTTAAAATGGTGCATTCTATGGCTTCCTTGGGGCCAAAATTACTATCAGACAGGTCACAGTTGAAGACTGTGGCCACATGTGATCCCTGGTCAATCAGAATTTTATGGTTGCCAGAGGATCTGCTCCCCAGGGTAAGGGGCGCATGGTCATCGCATGAGGGCGCTGCGCCCCTGTTTCCTTGTTTAAAAAAAATCCCAGATAGTGACAAACCATTCCAATATCTTGGTCAACAAATTAGACTATGATTGCAAACTAGAAAAATGTTCCCTACCATCACTATTTTTTTACTCCAAATCTCAAATCTTCAGTGGCAAGGATAGTTGATTTAATTTGATTTAACATAACTCAGTCACACCACTTTATCTTGAGAGTCCCATCAGCTTGTAACATATAACTGTGTTACTATTTTATTGTATGGATCAAGCTCTAACATGTGTATACGCAGTCACACATACCACTATGTCATGAAAAGGAACTAATGTATTTTACTACATGTATGTATGGATCAAGCTCTAACATGTCAATACAATTTATCTCAATACAGTTGTTACTCTTCATGACAACTGTATTGAGATCAATTCAATTCAAATTCAGTCATTCGTAAATACTTATTTAAGACAATGGAATAATTCCTAACATCGACTGAGATATGTTCACTGGTCATTGCCAGGCATTCACAAGTCATTGCTTAGCAACAGATCCACTAAAACTTGGTCATATGAGTTGACAACATTATATAGTTTGTTATAATTCTGGTTTTATTTTGAAAGCCAGCAATGCAATTCATTTATATCATTGTCTATTGTAGCAAAATCAGGACATCTAACAATAGTGTTACCATGGTATTTTAAATTATTTACTTTGGGTGTTGATGCACATATAAATCAGCAGGTGTGGGACTGTATCCCTGATTTACTATTGTCCACTTAATATTACTCAAGCGTGTACGCTGTAACCCATGTTTAGGATTGTCTGGTCAGTCGTTTAATTCAAAATTAAAATAGAATTTGATCATTGCCATCGGTGTGAGTTGTGTCTTTTTGTCTAATTTTAATGCCATGTATTTCTGTACATACATGCAGTATATTGGATCATTTTCAGTGGCTCACTCAACACCAGGAACCCGAGCAGAATTTGTGAAACTCCAGCTCTATCATTTGCGGGTAAGTATGGAACACATATACATCCTTATAGTAGTACATGTATAATGCCTCTCAATTTCTTTACAATGAACCTCTGCTACATAAGTAATTTTCGTTTCATCAACAATTTAAAAAAAAAAATCTTGTTTTAAAGTCAAATTCTACTCATCAAATCCAAAATTAACAACTAACAAATTGGTACCAAAGATTTTGTATGAGGCTAATATGTCTGTCCTCGTCCTTGTCGTTGTTTTTGTTGTTGTTAACAGTTTTTATCTAATTCTAGTCTAACTTGAATATTATATTCACCAATTTTCGATCTCGGCTAAGTTTGTATTCTACATGTATTTTTCAAGATACTGGTAAAATTTCACTTTTATTGTATTTATCTGATCATCTTCAAATTGGAGAATCTTAGTTAAACGTAGATGTAGACATAGAAATAAGTGGACAGAATGAAGTCATTTATACTGCTGAAACCAGATGCTAGTAATATGCTCTCCAAGATCTGTTACCGAGATATAAGTGTAGTAAACTGATATGTTGTTTTCATTATGAGTATAAAGAAAATCTGGCTCAAATTTACTTTGCTTTATATATACTGAACTGGGCCGCATTAGCACATAGTGTCCTCAACTCTGAAAATTATGACTTTTTTAGGGGTGGGCACTTACCCGA